GGCCCCGAGCAAGGTACCCCCCCCCCCCCCTCCCTGCCACAGGAGCCATGAATGGGCCCGAGAGGATGCTGAGGATCCTTACACGACATCTGCCTCCCTCCGCCCCCACCCCTCCGAGTCTCTCGCGTTACCATCTTTACTGCCACTCCAGCGCGCATCTTTAAACTTAAGCCTGTGTTTAGAGGGCGGATTAGGTTGACAAATCTTGCGGCAAGCGGAGAACATTTGTGCCACTGGCGTGGGTCCAGAGTCGTGAAAAATGATTGCGAAATTAGCCGGCGTTAGGGGCGATTCGTCAGGCTCGTGTCCGATCCGTGTTCGTCGAAAGTCGAACTTTCATTTCGCCTCGACGTCTTTGACGTTGCATTTGTCTGTCTAGCCTCGAGGAACAATGTACGTTGTGCGGTCGTTTCATTTGCTGACTTCTGAACGCGCGAGAAATGTTCGAAGGATTTGCTGTTTTGAGATCTTTTTTTTTGTAACCCTTTGCACTCGAGACGAATTCAAGCACGAAACGAAAGCGTTTGTTTCGAGCTACTGTATTTTTCCATTCGGCGTGCTCTATTTATTGGATGCGTCGTTGGAAATATAAACTGTTTGCTGATAGTTTTTAAGAGTTTATCGCGTGCGAACTTTGATGGTGAATTTTTTCAAAAAATGGCGCAGCAATTTTTAGCGACGCCGATCGAGTGCAAAGGATTAAACTCTGTATATATATAGAGTTTATATATATATATATATATATACATATAGTAAATTATACTATATAATATATATATATATAATATAATATACTTATATATACTATATAATATAATATAATATTATTATACTATATATATATAGTAAATATATAGTAAATTCTCCGTAATTTTTCTACTATTATATATAACTATACATATATAGAAAATTCTCCGTAATTTTTCTATTATTATATATAACTATATATATATATAGTAAATTCTTCGTAATTTTTCTTCAGCATAATTTTAGCGGCTCATTTTAAAGGTTAAAGAAAGCACAATTATAAAAACGAGACGCGATTCGATGTCGGCGCTTTTGTTGCTAGAATAACTTAAATTGCAGAAGTCAAGGTCACCCGTAGGTCACAGTACAGCAGGTCGCCGAGTTCAGTTTTCCATCGGCAATACCCCTGTGAAATTAAAAATACCGGGTGTCGTTAAAAAAAATCAAGGTGACCTTGAGCTCTGCTCGAAAAACGATAGTTATCGAAATTCGCTACGTTTCAACGTGTAGCCGACTGAACACCGATCGACTTTCGTTCGAAACGTTTTCTCGCGGGACCGTCGGAAGTGCTTGAAAAGTCGCGCGGAGCGTTAGCGTTTGCGACGCGGATCGACGTTTCCACGTTGTTTCGAACTTAATAAACTCGCCCGATCGATCATATTAATTGTATGCACTTTGCTCGCGGCATGTACTTCTGTTAATTTGTAAGTTTCGCGTAGCTGAAGACCGCGATAGCGATTTAATAATCACCGTGCGCACGAGGTAAACCATAAATGTGGCAGCGTAAATCAATTTTGACACTATTTAATGATCGTCTCAACGCAATCACGGCAATATTATGCAATAATTCAAACTGCCCAGATAATTATCTCCATTTTGAATATCGTTTCTCTCTAATGAAGGATGCAACTAATGAACTACGCGCTACCCGATTTATGCGATTGCTGCGGGATATTCGCGGCTATTCAGCCTTTGTATATTTATATATTTTATATATATTTTTTGATATATTATATTATATATTATATATTATATATTATTATTA